TTTGCGGACGAAACGGGATATGCCGACGTTAATTACTCATTACGACACAGAGGCGAGCCTAGAATATTTCCGGACAGTGACACCGTCGGAATTAACCCTAACCGAATCGTATTCCGATCTGTAACATGGCAAATTGCGGATCGATTATTACTCAGTTGATTATTACTCAGTCGTGAGAAATGCGTATCTTCATTTAGACAGATTTTATTTAACATAAATTATAATAGTACTTTTCGAAAGTTAATTGCCCTCGAATAAATTCTATTTTGTTTTTTTTAACAATATACCAAAAGCGTTTTATATACGATGCAAGCGAATTGCGTTTGCAGAAAATCGGATTTAATTTAAATTAAATAAACGAATACGTCGCGAATACTGATACATTAAAAACTGTTTATTCGCGTTTCTTCACGTTCGTGTTTTGTGTTCACGCTTCGTGAAGAATTTAAGACGAATTATATTTTTATGAAATTTTTGTACAACACGCAATTTAATAAAAGACGAATAGTCAATTTTTTGTTTGGATGCACGATTCGCAAGATTAAAGCACTGAGATATTACAATTCTTTATCGATCTCGTTCATGCAGTCGACAGTGAAAAATAATCGTGCGTTTTCAAACCACGTTTCTCAGATTGTTACGGAGGAAACAGATCGATCTTTCGCTGAAAGCATTGCTAACCAAGTTCTCCCTCCTGTCGATGGTTGTTTTCGCGACAGCCTACTATTTTTTTTCCATGACACGTGGAAAGCGTTTATTGTGATCGCCGACCAGCCCGTGAAGGGAGAACGAGCGTTGTCCATTAACTCAATGTGAAAAGCGACAGCGCGTTGCGATAGCTCGTCGAACTTTCGCGTCGTATCGATATAATTGTTGTCATCGTTGTCATTGTCACTCCCGCAGATGTCGATGTTTTCGTTAATATCGTCGCGAGGATTTTTCTCGTGATTATTACACGCGCGAAGTGGAGTGAATAAAATTGTTTTCGTTAAATCGGAATATTTTGTCATTTGCTATTGACTTTCTCGATATCTTGCAAGGAATGGCGATCCAATTCGCCTAACCATAAATCAGTCCCATAACCTATCGTGAGGTTCTCGAGATATCTTATTTAAGAAATACTCGACGACGGACGGTATTTTCCCGCCGTTACACGCGAATACCGAAGACACGATATACGTTACAGAACGATTTTGTGTTTGAGTGAACGGGGGGGGGAAGGGGTAGTAACAATCGATAGGGATGTCTCATAGTACACCAATTGCCGAACGATCGGGAAATAATAACTGCGGGCGGACACTTTTTGACATACGCTCGCTCCCATTGGTTTATCATTTTTTTGTCGTTGTAAATCCAGGCTTACAACAGGCTTAGAACAGGCTGTGTACTCTGGTTGTACTCTGAGAGAAATGCGTATTTATGATGTGCGTATTTTTGGATGATAGAAATCTACAACAGAACTCGTTTGATATTTTGTTTTAATAATTATTGACATTTATATTTTGACATAAAAGATATTTCTTTTGATATAAAAGATACTTCATTCAAGAATAATATCTACTCTAATTTTTTGATTGATAATTTATTCGTCAAATTTTTAAAATTTCTCGTGTTTAAAGTAAGATTTAAATAGGAGGAAAATGACTTTTCTAATTCACATATAGATTCAAATATAGTCTTACTTAAACGAATTGAAGAATAGACGTAATTTGGGTCGATGCGACAGTTATCTTTAGATTCGTGACATCGTCGATTTCATTATGACAACACGCGTCACTGACATCGTTCGCTTAATGTATCGAAGATTCGATTGATTCGGCGAGGCGCGACGTCCGTAAAAGTAACGGATCTACGCGTTATTCACTCAACCGTGACGCCGTTACCTCTCGGCATTACCGTTCCCATTTTTCGCCTCGATTGCGAGATCAATGCGATCGCCGGAGAAAAGGAATCAATCTAGGCACGATCGCGTGTCGCCATGTCGATCACACGTGTTTTTTTTTTTCTGACGTCAGAGAGGCCGGTTCAAACTCTCATTAATTCTCGTCGGGATAAACGGTTTTGCTATCGCAATATTGCACATCATACACTTGTCATATCTGCGACAATTGACGAGCAACTTGAAGGAAACTTCTCAAATTTATAAACAAATTTTTAATTTCATTTGGTATTGCAAAATATTTCTATTTATTTAACTATTTAACTTTCAAAAGTTAAAAAAATTGATATTCATTTATTGTCGACATTGTCAGTTATACGTCAGTGATAATTACGAAGTTGTAAATTATTTTATGAAGTGTTTCTAAAACAAGCATACTGATACTCCTCGCGGCATCGTTCATTCCTTCAGCGTATCTGTTCGACGTAGTATCTGTTCGGCAGACATAAAAGATATCGTGTTGCATTGAGGAATGCATTTTTCAACCCACGTTTTTTTCCACCGTGATATTGGTGTTTTCAGGATAATCGGTCGGTTGTATACATTTTTACGGCTCTCCAGGCTCGAGTGGAATAGCAAATGGAAGCCACGAAGGAATGTGATGGAAAATAGGTTACCATTAAATCGCAAGATTATTACAAATTTTTATTTATTTATCTATTTCATTAATATCGTTTATAATGTAACTGTTTGTACTATTCTTTTACACGATACAACGGGATAATAAAATTAACACATATAAACGAAGTTTAACGATAATTGGAAATAAAAATAGAAACCAAAATTTAAATTTACCAATAGCGTTTTATTAAATACTGGATTTTATATTGAGTAAGTATCGATGTTGTATAAACCAATTCGATATTGTATAGCTACTCTTGGAAATATAACTTTTTCCTTTCTTTATTACACGTGTATTCGCACGTTGCATGCAATGATTTTCCGCAGCCGGAAGATACCGCATTCCATATTGCTCGAGCTTAACACGGATGACTTAGAACGCTGGTTGTTATTATTCTCATCTGTTTGCCTCCGCTACTCGGCCATCTTCCTCAATAATAGCCATCCGCGCCTGCCTTGCTTCCCTCCGTAGTTTCCCCCATTGTCGGGAACTTAATGACTACACGCGGTCGATTCTTCCGTTAAGTTCTTCAAGACTTCGGATAATTGAAACGAGCAACACCGCGCTTCTTTAGCCGGAATTGAAAGATTCCTTCCGATTCCTCGGAATGACCTGGCGCCGATTGAAACCGAACGCGTTTTTGTGTTTCCACTGCAGTGTCGTTGTTCTTGTTCGTCTTGGTTGTACCCGTTGCGTTAAAGAATTACCGTAATAGCGACCCGCTTTTGGAATCTTTATTTCAAGACCGATATAGTTTGCACGTATTAAAGAAAAAAAAATTGTTCTTATATTTTAATCACGTGTTTTACAAAGACATAACTTACTTAATAACCATTTATTTATAAAATATCCTATGTACCGAGATATAAAAATATTTGTAATAAAATCTAAGAACTATCGCACTTTATATTTTTAGAGATTGAATAATTTTTGACTTTAAACAAAATTTCTTTCGGAGTTAATCGCCAGTCCTTGGGGGTTGTCCTCGTAATAAAGTCAATCCATCTTTGATGAGCTGTCAAACAGTGCATCTCGTGTTGCACCCGACACCCATTTATATTTATTCATTGTTGGTTACCTCGTCGGCAACGAGATCTCTCTCTATAAGTCGAGACCGGCCTGGTTCTATTCTAGTGCACCGACTGACAGGATAAACACTCGTGATA